AGAATTAGAAAACTGCCTTCAATTCCTGACCTCTTTCCTAAAACCAGTGAAGAATATAAATAGCTCCAGTTCTGACATAACACCTATCCCTGAGGAATTCTGAAAAAGAGACTGTCCTTCAAACCAAWCCTGTCAAGCAGCTAGTGTGATTTTGGTAAGGCCGGTTTGAAGCCATTATGTAAGAATGTTTATTTGTTATACAGAGCCCAGATCAGAGCTATGTCATACACAGCGACTTTACCACAGTATTTAAGAGTTTTCCAAAGTCCTGCATTTAGATTTAAATAACCCTAAAATTAGATGGGGTCTCAGCAGTATTTCTCAGCCTAGAAAATAACTTCTAGCTCTCACGATTTTTAGAGAACACATTAAAAATGGTAGTTCCATGGGCACAGCTCAAAAGGCAAGTAGAAATATCATATATTCAAACAAAATGTCGGAGGATTTTTTTTTTTTAAATTGAGACACAATCTGCTCTACTAAAGCACATCATTAGTAACTTTGTAGCTGTGTGAGTCAAGGTTTTAATCCTCAGGAGCTTGCCCACGTTCAGTAGCTAGACCAACAACAGAAATCCTGCAGGAATTTCTACATTCTCAAGGGTAAAGGAGAGTTTGGATACATGGCTAATGTAAGAGCCTTGATTATCCAACTGCCACTTGAAATGCAGAACAGTGCTATCTAGAAACTCAGCCATCCACCAATGAAGTCTGTGTGGGTCCTTCAGGACTCATTAGCACTTTGGTGTCTCTGTACCATGATTCCTCCAGAACTCCAGATTCGGGAGGTCTTCTTAATTATCGACGTCAACTACTCTGCACAAAGCAAGCTCAGATCCAGACTTCCAGCCAAGYCAATAAAATCTCCTGGAACACGGAGCACAGCACAGAAACACCCAAGTGGGTCTAATCAGAGCCAGGTTGGTCTATCAGGACTTATTAGTTCAGACACTGCCTGAAAGCAGCTGCACTGCAAAGCTGGTTCTGGAAATAGCAAAGATGTGTTAACATGGCACAGCACTTGAACTAATAAACTGCTAGTTCTGMGCCTGCCCCAGGCTAAATCTGGTGCCTGTATATCCACTGCACAGTAAATCTGCAACTGCAGAAACGGCCCAAAGAGTTCACTYTATTTCAAGCCCAGAATGCAGAGCTCTACCACCACCAACATGCCCAAGTTTTCTGTCCTTGTCACCTCCCTCCATATGACCAATCCCCCCATCTATCTTTTTCCCATTTGTTCACTGTTTTCTCTCTTGGCCATTCACATCCATTTCTCAACCTTGAACATCCCCAATAAGGCGGCACAATGTACATCAGCAGCTTCCAGCCTTTCCCRAGTGATTAACACAGTTACCACTCTCTTTTCACCCAACTTTCTCAACCAGATCAACACTACCTAACTCCTCTCTCACCACTTCTGGTTTCTCTCTTTGTCCTGTCCTTGGTGGCTCAATCCCTAACCAAGGAACCACTACACTTACAAAAACAAAACAAAAAAATGATCGTACCTGCATGTCAGATTGTCCTGTCTTCATGGACAAAAAGCAAGTATCAGCAAAAACACCATCACAAGAGCTCTCACCAGGCCAAGGGCAGGCTACCACTTCTAAGGGCAAAATTTGCTATCTCACTTAGAAGTTGCTTAGCAGCCAGCTCACATACGACTGTCCGAGGCTCTCCTTTTCCCTTCCTACTTGAACTTCCCTTTGTTTGATTCTCCCATGCCAGACAGCCCAAATGTCTTGGTGTGACAAAAGGGCTGGTGAGGGCAAAGACTGTCACCAGCCTGCTGATAACAGCAGTGGACAAGGAAAGAATACCATAGGAAAGAACAAAGGCAAAGACTGATTGGAATGGAGCACAGGGAGACTGGCCTGCTGATGGAATATCAGCTCTGCCTCTCAGCTCAGTCAACACTGCTTCCCCACCCCACCTTCATCCACCTCTACAAACCATGCAAACTGCTGAGTATTTGGTTTGTAGCTCTGTCCTGTGATATGTAGGCATGAGAGGGCCACTAATCATCAAACTTTTACAGTACTGGAAATATGACAGAATGAATTACTTGCTACAGAAAGTGACAGTCTATCCCTCTAAAAACAGTTCACACCATAGGTAAAATAACCACTCCAACTGCATTATTACTCCAGAATCATGACTTCAATGAAGAACATGGGCAGTTCTATGTGTCCTTGCTTCTGAGCTGTTTCCAGAACAGTGAAACCAAAAGAAAACCTACAAAATCAGAAATGAAACTGAAATTTATCTCCTCAGTCATCATACATGCTCTAAACAGCAGAGCAGCAATTTATTGTCCATGCAATCTAACAGTGTATAGTTGTGTACTGAAACAAGGAAACTCACTTTCTATGGCAATTAGGAAATGAAATCTGCCTGCTTTCCAGTTGCTGTGTTTGATATCAATCTGATGTTGTTGTCAGTTGCTGAAAGTCAGGTAAGAAAGTCCCTCACTTTTGTCTTACAGGTGCTATTCACAGTTAAGTATTTCTACATATCATATCAGCAGTAAAACCACAGTCAGATGGATTCTCAGAACACAATAACTAAGGAATTAGAGCAATACATGCACCATCACTCAGAACTCCAGCCATCTTTGCCTTGTTGTAGGAAGCTACAGTGGGACTTCAAAGTCTGAATCATTGACAAATCCTAATACTTGATTCTTTCGTTCCCATTGTTTTACTTCCATGCTCCTTACAGACCTCATTCTTTTTTTAAATGACAAAATCTAATCTCTTTGTAGAACCAGTTACCATCTCCATCCATATAGGACCTTCTAAGATGTCACAATCAAAGCAAAATGAATGGCATACATCCAGTGAAAATGCTATTAGGTTGGGCAGTATGGTATGTATTATGAACCTTTCARCCTGTTCTAGGAAACAGGCTACCCAGGTGACTAGCTCAAACTAACTTAGGTACTTGAAACCAAGACCTTAGAAAGTGTCTTTATTTCAAGAAAAGTTTGGGAACTTCTTGCACAGAAGGAAACCACACCTTGTCTCTTTCTCCTACTATGCATAGGATAACGGCCACAGATACAAGAACATAAACAGGCTGTTCAAAACCAGAAGGTGCTGGCAGACTCAGTAACAAATGGCATTGAACTCGCATCCAGAAACAGATCCTGTACTTATTTACACCAGCTGGTTTTATGTATGTACATAGCATAACGCCATACAGATATTATGAAGATACAGATTGTCATATGAATAGAATTTTACCATCAAAGACCAAATATTTTTGTTTTAAATCCAACTGCAGCCATCTTCATTCCTGAAAGTAATCACTATACATTCTGCTAAATAGCCAATGAAAAATTTCTGAGATTCATTCAACAAGGCATTTATTATTTATCTGAGAAGTGATAACAACTCTAAAAAAYACTTTTCTGAAAATAATGCTAAAACCGAAACAAAATCATTAAATGTTTCATTTCAGTGGTCTCTTTCATATGGCTGGCAAGTCTCATCAGCTGTGGAGTTCTGCATTTATCACCCACAGACTTTTTTTAAAAATCACTACGTTCTTTGAAGTTCAACTTAGGATTAATAAACTTTCTTACAGGTCTGCAGTACTATATAAATTCTGTCAGAGCTATGCTGGCATAACTGGTAATACAAACTGTCTGGCTTCATGAAAGTTATAAGCTCTGGCTCCAATCCTTCAAACACTTACGGAAGAATTTAACTTACTGCACAGAACTGACTACTCATGCATAAGCTAAGCATATTTGTAAATATTTGCACAGTATGGACATCTGTTGGCATAGCCAGTCATTTGATACAAGATTTAGCTTCAAATCCTAGTCTGCATAGAGTCARTATATAAAAAAAGGAATTCCTCACTTTATAAATTCCTTTCTTAGACATCAAGCATGTCAGATACAAAAGGGTGGAACTGAAAAGTTGAGGAAAAGAGGAATCAGTGAAATCGTAACACTTGGTTCTGTTTCTCATKTAACTACACAGTTACATGAAAAAGCCTGGTTTCTTATGAGAAGAATGTCACAAGATTGAGCTCCTGCCTTCTTAACTTTTGCTGAACTAAGCTCTTGCTATACCTTTCCTTCAGTGGTGCCATTTACAGCATTTCTCACATCATCACAGGCTAAGCTCATAAAATTATTCAAAAAAACGCCTCTTTTTATCAGGCTTGGTTATTAACACTTTCAAGTTACAGGTGGGCTAAGAAAGAGCTACAGTATAAAGATAGCCTACAGATAACCATGGAAATCACATTTCCTTTAAAAACCAAACAAGGCAACAATGTGTCCTTCCTCTTAAGTGTCCTGGCATTTGAGCACATCCTGTTTCACTCATCCTCTTTAACAACAAAACATTTTGTGATCTATTCGTTTAAACGTGAAACCAGGCAGAAATACACATGAAGGAGCAAAGGAATCCTCCCACTGATTAAGCGCTACCGGGGAGAGAGTAAGCTCAAGGCCTTGGTGCGTATGACACAGAGGTGCCCTGTGRAGCTCTGCTTCTTCAGAATAACGAGCTGAGATCTCACTCTAGCTTAGRACTGAAGTCTGTCGGACAGCTGTGGTTTAGGGCACTAAACCGTCTCCTTCAAAAAATACAGGAATGGACTGAGAGGATGGAGACACGGCGGGCCGCCAGCTCCAGGGAGGGTGGGGACAACGAGACCCCATCAGCGACGCGGTGACAAAAGCCCTAGGCAAAACCCTAATGACACACACAATTGAAGCGCACTGATCCAGCGAGGGAAGTGGGGTCCCTGGAGAGGGGAGGGCGGGTACCCTGCGGGGCCTCCTGCAGAGGCTGTGTCTCWGTTCGCCCTCACCACAGCCGGGCGGGGGCCGGCCGCACGCAGCAGCCCCGGGACCTGCCCCAGCCGCCGGGGAAGGGCGTCCGCTTCCCGCCCGAGCCGGCCGCCGGGGCACGGCGGGGCGGAGAGCTCGGCGCCGCGGCAGAGCTGCCCCTCCGCGGAGCGACCCCGCCGGGTTACCTGGGGCAATGAGCACCCACTGGGCGGGGGGCGCGCCCGCGGGACCCCGCTCCGCGCCCGGCGCGCTCCGTGCGCCCCGCATGCTCCCGGCACCCGCGATCCCGCCGTTCCCGCCGCCGCCGCCGCAACATGGCGGGCGGAAAGAGGCCGGGCGGCAGCGGGGCGCGGGGCGGGGCGATGGCTCGGGCCGCGCCGGCGCTCCGCCTCTTCCCCTTCCCCGGCACACGCACGGAGGGGTGGTGCAGCCGTGGCGGGCGGCACCGCCGGCAGAAAAGTCTCTTCTCACCCCCGACCTGCGCGATTCGGGCTGGTTTGGTGTTCCACCGGTAGGGGAGAGGGGTACACGAGGTTCTTAAATGCTCGTGGTCCGAAGGGGCCACAGAAGTCAGAGGGTCCGCAGACGATCAGAGAGTTGTATTAGTAAATTGTCCGTTTGCYGTGGAAGTTGGTTTGTTAGTCCCTGACCTACTGTGTAAGCGCCCGGCAGTGGGTTTTGGATACAGGGCTAGAGTGAAAGGGAAGAGAGAAAGGAAGAGATGAGCTATACGTGGGGAAAGGGAAAGAGACACATAAAGAAGGAGAAAAAGAGAGGGGAAAAGAGATTACCAGTCCTGTTTCCAGCATTGATCCCGCTCATGGTCCTRGGGGCCACTGCCCAAGCTTGGGAGGGGTACGGTTTTATGGATACGTTTTYTCCACCCCGAAAACAGGTCTCTCGCTTGAATTAGTTACCGTGTGCAGTCCGATCTTTCAGACCTTTCTGGAAATGGGTCAGAGGGATTTGGGGAGTTTGGGTCGTCTTAATCCCCCTCACCCCGCAGTCCATGCCCACGTCTTGGCCTCGTCATTCCTGTGTTGTGCTCATCTCCAGGAACTAGAGCAAATGTGTTTGTCCAGAAAAGTGCTGCCCTACCTCCACATGGCCTCCTTCTCCAGCCACATCTTGTTCTTCCTCATGACTTGTTAGTACTGTAGTAATTACTTCTTTCTCACAGTGTGACAGGGCTTGACACAAAGGGCACAAAATCGAAATGAAGGAAATTTGTTTTAGACATAAGAAGAAGTGTCTTTAGTGGAGCAGGTTGTCCTTAACAACTGCTGTGTCTCCTATCAGTGCAGGTATTAAATACCAGACTGGTCATTGCTCTGAGCACCTGCTGTAGCTGGCCCAGCTCTGAGCAGGGGGCTGGACTGGAGCATCTCCAGAGGTGCTTGTCAGCCCTCACCCTTCAGTGGAACTTCAATCCTACAAGGCTGGTCATGGGCAGAGCCACAGTTCTCTCATAGCAGTCAYCCTACCCAGTGTACAACATGATCCTGGTAAACAGGTTCTATACCTCCCAATCGCACCGAGGAGCCATMGCCACAACACAAAATGCATATTTTCATGCACATGTATATATTTGTTCATGAACTTGGCTTTACCCACACAAGACTGGATTGATGGCCGCCTTCCCGGAGATTTAGGAATAAATACTATGTTATCAAAAGTATTAAAGTATACATATCAATTGTAAATCTCGGAGATATGAAACAAATATTGAAAACATACTAACACGTATTCCCCAAAATGGAGCAGAAGTAACCAAGACCAGCATATGCAAAACAGCTGAATTGATGCAAAGCTGAAAAAAAATATTTCCTGAAGTTTGAAAATATACCTTCATCACATTAATCACATTTACATTACATTAATCACATTTACATTACATTAATCTAAATTTGTTTTATTTTAATTTTTCTGGCTTTTTTCCCCCCACTGATTGAAGTGAGGCAGGATTTCAGTGCCAAAGATTGCACTACACCGTGTGTTTTGAAGAAGTCCCCAGAGAAATCACTTSTTCTCAGAATGATTGCAATTTGCTGTGGCATATGCCTGGATTGCAACACTCACTGATAGGTCTTGTAAAACTCTCCTCAGTACTTGTGTTAGCAAAGAGAGAAAGAAACTCACCACTGTTCCACTGGAGTCTGTACAAGACCACTGGAAGAGCAGAACAGAGTTGGTTGCTGTGTTTGAAACCTTCGTAGAAGGAAAGCTGTCCATGTGGAAAGAAGTTTCTTCATAAAATTTGGCTTCTTGTTCTGAAAATGACAATGAGTCTTAGGATACTGTACACCACTGAGCTTAACAAAGCTCTGGAAAAGCCAGGAATCCAAGCCTGCCAGCCTCCACTTGCAGTGTGTGTCAGGATGGAGTCTAGAAGCAAAAGATGCAGTTGTTCCAGACATCCTATTTCCTCTCTGACTAGTGTGTGATGGGTATGTTGTAGCAAACATTGCTATATATTTACAAAACTGACTTATTAAGCTCACATTTTTCAAAGCACTGATCCATCCTTATTTAGGCACCTAGTAAGAAAGCTAGTTTTCAGAGGTGCTGAGTACTCCTGCCATTAATTGAGCTGAATGGACATTTTATCTGTTCATTTCGTTTGATTTATGAGCATCTCCCACAATCTCTAGATGTATATTGGTCCTGGGATCTATAATGTCCCTTTCCAGGAACTTTTCAGATAGAAATGTTTTTCTCAGATACTTTGAAATGCCCCAAATGGAAATTCTCAAATAGGCCTGGACAAGCCTCTGGAATGACATCAGTTTTGGAATAAAAATAATGCAGTAATTTATACATATTAAATATTTTAAACTTTCTGTTGTTACTCGTGCATACTTGATATATACTGTTCCCCTTTATAAACAGAGGATATRCTATATCATTATAAGCAAAAGATGAACTAATTAGGGATTTCTGTCAGAAGCTGATGATATTAAAATCTTATTTGCTTAAGAACTAAATACTTTACCTTCAGGCTTGCCAACACTTTTAAACTGTAGTACTGTCTCTCCCTGAAAGAAAATGCTGAAGTTTAAAACACTGGGCTGATCTGAACTGCTGTGGTGATATCATTTTAAATACTCAAATCTTAATTTCATGCACATGGGTATTCTCATTTGGGTCCGTATGACTCATTAAGTCCAGAAAGTTAAATGCATCCAGTATGGGACTGCATCCAATCTGAGAACAATTGTTTTCTACATTTCCAAGCCATTTGATTTGCATTCAGACTTTACCTGCGTGCTGTCTGTTCATTCATTTCTGCTAGGGCTGCTTCTTATAATCCAAATATCTGTGCAAATGCAAGCATCCCTTTTTGCCAAACAAAAATKACTTACTTTTGCTGCCAAAGAAACGCTACCTCTGTGCACCTTCAGCTGTGGAATTTACCCCTTCCTCCTCTCCTACACTAGTTTTAAGTGAAGGCACTTTTAAATTTTGCTCAGAGCAAGAAAYAAAAGAATGTATAGAAAGAAATGAATCATTTTTCAATCATGGTTGTCATTTAAAAGACAAAAATATTTCCACATGATTATGTTTCATTTTACACTGTTTCAACAAATGCAGGCCAAGTTTATCTATTTCATGCTTCAGTGGTTCCAACATTTACATGCATAGCTTTAAATCCATTACTCTGCACGTTTAAGGGTTAGCTGTATGTATGGATGCAAGGGTTACACTTAATCCCAGGAAAAGGCCTAATGATACATGTAACTTTAGCTGATGAACCAGGATAATGATGATTCATTTTCAGTTATCTAGTTTGAAATACTGTTCTAAGATCATCACAGGTCAAATTATTGCTTTGATTGGTTTTATTCAAAACCAAATATGTGCAGCATTGAAATAAATTGAAAATATGGAGGCCAAACACAGAGATGGAATTGACCTGAAAGAACATATACTGGCATTGCAAACGTATAAAACATCATTTGAATTTCTAACTGAAATTTCAAGTCAATCTGTCAAGCTGAAAAATAATTATTTTAAAGAGTTGTTCATGACAGTATTCATCTAAGCAAGTACTCCTCTTGCTGAAAATAGTCCATTTTGAGGAGAACAACAGTATTCATTTAAAAGCACTCAAGCAATGGTGAAAAAYATGTTAACCAGCTCTGAGCAGAAACCACTTTGTGCTTTGCACTAAACAAGGTTGTACCACCTTGTGCACATACAGGAAACAAACAATTAAAATTTTTAGCCTTAATAGAACTACTGAGTTCCAAAGTTTGCCAATATGTCAGGTCAAATAGCAATAAGACTAAGTAAAGGAAAGAAAGCAGAATTAGATGGAAATATAAAAGCACTCCCACRTAAACCATGGGATTCATTTTGCCTAATTTTATACTATAAATGTCTAGATTATTTAGTGTCTTTTTGTAGTTAATGGAGAGAAACAGAGTAGCATTCAGCTGGYCTAGTTCATAAGTTTATATCAGGGCTAGCCCACTTATCTAGAGATAGATATCCAGATTGCAGACACCTCAGATGAAAGGTGAGATCTTTTCTCCTCTACATTTAAAAAAAAAAAATTCTTTCTTTTTTTATCTGTACTGGGAGAGACCCCAGTTTACATAGAGTTGTTATCATTATCCCTTTCTCCCATTTTTTTTTTTTTGTGCATCCATCACACCCTAAGAATGGATGAGGACCTTATTGTGGGGTTAGCACAAGCAGATATTTATTGGCCTAAGCATGCTGGATCTGAAAAATGTTATTTTTCCTCTCTTGAATCAAGCAGAAAATTCACTTTTTGGAGGTGTGTTGCTATAGCAAGCAGACCTTGGTCTGTTTATAGAAGCTACTCAGAATGATGTATACTGTTTGGAGAAAAAGATTGAATGAGTATACAGATTGTGAGATGGCTTGAAATGAACAGTAGCAACACTTGTTTAATGTGCTTGATACATTTATCCACAGCAGTAAGTTACTGCAAAATATCTTCATTGTGACTCA